CCTTAAGTTGGGTGGTCTTCAGACACAAAGATGTGCTCTTCTCAACCGTGTCCAGAGTCATTTCAACATTATCATATTCTTTAGTCGCTGATGTACTCAGTAAGACCATGAATTCTGGCTGGCCTCCTGGATATTGCTTGTACCACTGAAGACTGTATTGTGTTCCCTGATAGGAGCAGTTAAGCAGGGTGGGGTCTCCTTCCTTGACTGAAAGAAATTGGTGCTTTGGGGTGATAGCAGCTTGACCTGATACAACTGGAAAGGAATGGAAACATTAGGAAAAATGGTGGAGGGAGGGAGGAAATAAAGAAAGAAGAAAAAAAGAAAGAAAGAAGGAGGAATGGAGGAAAGAAAGAAGGAGGGAGGGAAGGAAGGCAAGATAGAAAGAGGCAGAGAGGGAGGAAAGAAAGAGGGTGGGAGGGCAAAAAGAAAGAAAGAAAGAAAGAAAGAAAGAAAGAAAGAAAGAAAGAAAGAAAGAAAGAAAGAAAGAAAGAAAGAAAGAAAGAAAGAAAATTGATAGATTGTCAATAGAGGGTCGCGACTTGTAGAGAGAGTGGCATAGTTTCCTATGGGATGGGAAATGTAAACAACATGCATATTTTCAGAGATACATTCATTAATTCAGACATGGAACAAGATTAAAAAGAATCATTATACTAAAATACTGAACTGGCTGTCAACTATGGAAGCACAAATCTACCCAAATGCAATGGACCTGGGAAAAAAGAGGAATTACAAAGACCTACTAGACACACAAGGAAGATTAAAAATGAGACAAGAATTACAGCAACAAAATATAAAGATAGATTGGTGGCCATACATGCAAATCCAGGTGAGATATCAGAAGGACAAAGAACAATTTGGTTTCTGCATGGAAAAGCATCAATTAGATAAAATTCTTCAAGAAATGGAAAAGAAAATGATTTCAAGAATATATAACTTTCTACTAGATTTTAAAATGGAAGAGGAGATGGTCAAAGAGACAATGGTGGTATGGGCAAAAAATGTTGTCCACAATATAAACCTGGAAAATTGGGAGAGAATGTGGCGATAAAATTACAAACTAATTACATCCACAGCATACAAGGAGAATCAATGCAAAATGTTCTACAGGTGGCACCTTCCTCCTGCTAGATTGGCAAAAATGTTTAAATCAGACCCAAATTGTTGGAAATATGGAAAAGAAAAAGGCACTTATTTTCATACCTGGTGGACGTGGCAGGAAGTGAAAAAATATTGGAATATAATTAGACAATGGATAGAAGAAATCATGAATCAAAAATTGAATTTAATCCAGAAACTTTTTTATTAGGTATAATAACACAAAAATGCAATAAAACAGATAGATATATTATGTTACGTATATTAACAGCTGCAAGGATTTTGTACGTACAACTCTGAAAGGAAAAAAGGGTTCCACCAGAAGGCATGGTTATTAAAAAAAATAATAGATTGTATAGAGATGGACAGGCTAATGATGAAAATAAAAGACAGAAAAGATTCGATTTATTATAGGGCCTGGTATGCCTGGTATGAATGATTTAGAAATAAAAATAAAATAAAATGGCAGTTAGGAAAAGAATGAGGGAATATGTTAATATGTAAATATACTATGGGGAAGATTGAGATGTAGGGATAAAAGATGATTTATAGTAATAGTAAGATGTAATGGTAAAGGAATAAGTAAATACATATACTGAAAAATGTGAGGAGATGCAAAAGATGTCTTGATGTTGATAACAATGTACAACATTTTATTTTATGTTTTTAAAATTTGGAAAATTAATAAAATTTATTTAAAAATAAGAAAGAAAGAAAGAAAGAAAGAAAGAAAGAAAGAAAGAAAGAAAG